ATGTTTGCTTCTAACATTGAACCAAATGATTGGAATGATTTTAACCTTACTTTTTAAACATATAAACTAACTTATTAATAAGTTATTTGGAACGTGCTTATTAAAAAATTAGTTTATAAGATATTTATAATGGATTTAATTCATTTTTGTTCATTTAACTTTTGATTTTGTATTTATTTGATCACTTAATTATTTTTAAGATTTGAAAAGTCATCAACTTTTGATTTTGTGCTTATTTAGTCATTTAACTTTTGGATTTGTGCTCATTTACTCACACAACTTTTAAAATTGTACTCATTTAGTCACTGAACTTTAAAAAAAAATTAAAAGTTTAGTGATTAAATTAACACAATTTTAAAAATTAGGTGTCTAAATGAGCACAAATCCAAAAGGTAAGTGACCAAACCAAAAATTAAGTAACTAAATGAACACAAAACCAAAAGTTTGATGACCTTTCAAAATTTAAAAAGATTTAAGTAACCAAATGAATACAAAATAAAAAGTTAAGTGAACAACAATGATATAAACCCTTTTATAATCTATGATAAGCTATTTTTATAATATTATATATCAAAACGATTAAATATAATAAGTTAGTTTATTTATGCTAACCAACAAGTATTGGAATTGCACAATATAACCTTAATAAAATAGATGATTAAAACTGTAATCATTTCACATAAACATTTAAAGTGATTATTAAGTATGACTAGGATTCACATTTATATTAATTAATTATGTTTGTTCTTTTTCAATATGATAGATGTTCCAAAAACAAAAGGACTTGAAAGTTACAACAACTATCATGGCGTATCGGTCAATATCGGGCTTGAACCTCATGAGCAATATTATAAGCACAACAGTTTCTCTACATCGGTCGTGAACACGTAATTATTTATATATTTTGCTTGTTTAATTTCAATTTAATTAGCTATTGAGTTAAGTAATTGATTATAGAGAATATAACTAAGTTGACATATCTATAACTGAAATAATGTAGGAAAATGGCTGACGAGCCTTTACTAGCGTTGAACCCCGAGAAATTGACAAGTATTGTTTTGGGCCAAATGGAACGCTCTATTTTCAGTCGTTCCCAACAACTCGTCCATGCTCCTAAGAGCAAGTTTCATCACGTATGCATATCTAACACCTCATTCCTCAAGCTTATTCCATTTAATATGAAGAAACAAATAAACCAATAATGATATTCGATGCCATTTTAACTTGAATTTGTACTTGGGTTGAAATGTTTAGGGAAGCCCCAACAGTTATCATGGAACACACGAAGGAGAAAAAGACAAAGACTTTCTAGCTAGTGGTTTCACCTCAAATGATAACGTATACACCTCCCTTTCTTTTATTATCTTTTTGTATGACCTAATGGTTCCGATTAACTCATGAAGTGTTACATTAATCAATACAGGAAAATGAAGATACGGAGAACTATGAAGATGCGATTGTTGCTTCTTTGTCTAAATCACCTAGTGTTGATACAAACTTGACTCTCGGAGGCCCATATGCCTTTTGAAAGTGTTAAAATGTTCCTGTTTTTTAAGACATTCTTATAAGAACTCACTTGTAAAATTTACATTTGGATCGAAGTTATGCATTAATGCTTTTTCGGTAGATATGATAATCTAAGCATGTAGTACATTTAATTCTCACAAAACCTATAAAAATCATAAATCATTCTATTTGGATGTCTAATCTGTATTAAGCTTCACGTTTGAGTTCAGTCATAAAACACTAGCGATATTTTATATGTCTTTAAGTTTGGACTTTGGATTTTTATAGAATTTCGTATCTCGACCATTAAAATCTTTCGTAGGGTATGATAATATATGATAAACATTTCATATTTTTTTTTCTGTGTAACTTTTACGATTTTACTTATGTTGATACAAACAATAACGTTATAAACAGAGAAAAATACAAAAATTATCATAATATCATTATAGATCACCGCCCAACATATGGAAATATAAACAAGGACCGGGTTGCTATTAAAGGTTAAAAAGAGTGGTCAAATAGATAAAACTACAATGTTTGGGGCCAAACTTTAAAAGTTGAAACATTTAGGGGCCAAGTGAGCAGTAATCAAAAAATTATAAGTAAGGTGGGAAATATATCAACACCGCCGTCGTCGTCGATAACCTAACGAGCGGAAACCCTTCGCCACCTGCTCTTCACTCTCTCCGACACAGTAATCATGGCGGACGTAGTACAATACAAGCTCGAGCGTATGGTCAATGAGCTCGACGACCTTGAGCGCCGTGGCCTGTTCTCTCGCCGTGAAATTGCCGAAATCGTCAAGCAACGCCGGAAGTTTGAGTACAGACTCAAACGTCCAAGTCCTCTGAAACAGGATTACTTAGCGTACATAGACTACGAGAAATCTCTCGAAGCTCTCCGTCTCCTCCGTAAGAAAGCGATGTTGCGTGAGCTTGAAAAGAAGAGTGAAGACGGGGAAGGCGTTGTAAAGAAGCCGAAGCTGAAGCAGTCTGTTTCTGATTTTTCTGGAATTTCAAGGATCGTTGAGATTTATCGGTTGGCCACTAATAGGTTTAAAGGAGACATTGAGCTGTGGTTTCAGTATCTGGAGTTTTGTAGGCAAAGAAGAAATGGACATATGAAGAAGGTATATGATTTTTAATGCTTGTAGCATATCAGTTCATTACGTTCTGTTTCTGCTTGTATTCGTTGCTCATAACTGTGATTATTGCTTGAAATAAGATGAAATTGTGCCTACGAACTTGATATTTCAATTCAGGTTGTTCGATTTTCAGTTTCAGTTATAATCTGATTGTTTTTCCATTTGATATCTGTGCATCTTTCAGGTTCTGGCTCAGGTGATTAGATTTCACCCAAAAGTACCTGGAGTTTGGATATATGCTGCTTCATGGGAGTTTGATCATAACCTAAATGCTGCAGCTGCTCGTGCACTTATGCAAAGTGGTTTGAGATCTTGCCCAACTTCTGAAGCTCTATGGGTGGAATATCTCAGAATGGAACTCACATACCTTAATAAGTTAAGTGCTCGTAGGTCTGCTCTTGGAGAAGATGTTGCAACATTGGTTACTGATGGCCATGAGCCTGAAGATAAACAATGGCGAGACGAAAACAAAGAGCTATTTATGCCAATTGATGGAGAAAGTAAAAATTATAAAGATTTAGATGTACAAAATGAGGAACTGAAACAGAAAATCAATGTCTTCCGTGAACAAGGTTTGAACATCCTTCAAACTGTTTACAAATGTGCAGTGGACGCACTACCATCCAGTTTCACCATGAGAACACAATTTCTTGAGATACTAGAGGCAACAAATTTGGCAAATTCAGAAACTATGAAAAAGGAGATACTTTCTGACATGAGAAATCAATTTTCGAAAGAAACAGGATACTGGGATTGGCTTGCAAAGTATGAAGCAGCAGGCCATAATAGCACACAAGATGTAAAGAAAGATCATTTACACAATGCAATTCAGGTACCCCAAATAATTGAAACAAAAATCTCTAGTGTTTTGGTAAATGTAAAAGCTTCATAACTTCAAGATTCACATTCTTTTTATGTAGGTTTATGATGAGGCTTTAAAGATTGTACCATCATCAACAATGTTCGATCTCTACATCAAATTCTTGATGGACGCAATTGTTCATCAAGGTTCCAGGGTTTCTGATATAGATCTTGTTTCACATGTTCTAATGGTCTATGAAAAGGCTCAAAGTATGGGGTGCATTACAGAAGATCTTGCATGCCAAAATGTATCTTTTCTATTAGAACTTGGAAGATTAGATGATGCTAGAAACATAGCAGAAAAACTTTGCAATGGAGAGCTTTCAAAAGCAGCCCGTTTATGGGATTTACGCCTCTCAATAGAAATGAAACATATAAACACTCCAACAAAAGATGATTTATTATCTGTGTTTAATCTCCTGCAAAACCCTCTTAGAAAAATTGCTGTTTCACAAGCTGAGAGCCTCTGGCTTATGGTATACTATTTTTTTAATCATCTTTATTTTGTTTCTAGTTACTCATAAATATAAAGTTTGAATATTTTTTTATGTTATTGTTTTTTATTGTGAAGGGGTTGAAATATTTTGCAAATCAGAAGCAATATTTTGATAAGCTGGTGGATATTTCTGTAAGTTGTTTGACCAGAGATGGTGGAAGTGATGATGGTTTCTCCCTCTCTTCCACAATTGTAAACTTTATTCTACAAAAAAATGGAATTCAGAGTGCAAGAGACATGTACAAAAGGTATGTCACTAAAGATTCATATAGACTAATAAATATCGATTTTTGTTGAATACCCTTTTTATCCTTTTTGTTATTACCCTCGATTAAGAGCAAAAATGAAAAATTTTTATAATGTGATTTTTTGTGAACATTTTGTAATATGCAGGTTTCTTGCATTGCCTCACCCTGGTCTTGTTTTTTATAAAAATTGCATTGAAATGGAAATGAACATTGCATCTACTGCTGCAAAGGCTAATCTTGTAGAAACCCGAAAATTATATGAAGCTGCACTTTCAACATATGATCAAGATGCGAGATTGTGGCAAGATTATCACTCTATGGAGTCAAAGGTAGAAAAAAATTCAAAAGAAAAAATATTTTCTAAACTTAAGGATATGAAAGAGATAATGTTAAAATGAGGGAAAAGTTTATTTTATTTTTTGTAGTAAGTACAAAAGGACACTGATATATAGCTTACCAGATTAAGTCATGTCTTGGTTTATGTGCAGATGGGGACATCCGAAAGTGCTGCTGCAGTACATTGGCGTGCAAGAAGGATACTTAAAGGCAATGCTACATTATTAAGTTGAAGAAATTATGGATGAGAGGTTTAGATTTGTTAACCACTCGCAATTTTGACTTGTGTTAAAAGGGTTGTAGTCTTGAGAATTGTAACAATTGTTTTATTGAACACAGTCTACATGATAATCAAATTATGTTTTGTTTTGATTATATATTTCAACTTTTCATCATCTTTATCCATTTATGGGTATTGTAGGTGTAGCAGTGTATACATAAGCTAATGACATGTTTTTGGTCTTGCTTAAGATTTTGAATGTTCCTTACGTGAATTTAGTATTTGTTTTATGTTCTTGTGCCTAAGACAAGCACTTGTATAGTTCTTGATTGTTAAACGGTGTTGCATAAGTATATTGTTATGTAATAGTTAGGTTACGATGGTAACCTGACCTACTTTGATTATGCTCGTATGACACTCGATAAAACAACAAAGTATCTTTGATGTAATTTCAACGATAGCACGATGATGAAGGAATAGATGTAACTACAAGGGAGTAAGATTTATCAATAAGGGAGTTTCAAGTATTTAAGGTCTCTAATCCATAAGGGAGGTGCATGGAGGTAAATGTGTCACATTGTTTCAAAGCAAGTTGGTTAAAGTGGAGGACGACAATATGAGTATTGTATGACAAGAAGGTTCTGCTGAAACCAAAAGCATTTTTTTTTACAATGTAATTCTATGATATATGGATCTGAATGTTGGTTGAAAACGGATTATGAGAAGATGGAAGTATTAGGAATGAAGAGTTGCGGTAGGATTTTGTTGAATAATATATTGAATACGAATATTAGAAAATTGTTTGGAGTGTCACGGGTAATTGAAAGATTAAGGGGAGGAGATTGAGCTGGTATAGATATGCCTAAATGAGGCTATCGACAAGAAGTTAGAAGGTGGAGGTGATGTTGGTTGATTTGATGGTTCTTGGATGAAAGGAACACCTAGATGAAAGTAGGATGATAATATGAATCTAAGATGTAACGGCTAAATATAATGATAGTATAGTAACCTAGGTCCATGTATTTTCTCCTCCTCGCATTGACTTGCTATCCTCTTGTATGCCCCGGTTAAAACCACACTATACACATGCTAGGTCATCTAGAGCTCGCAAAAATCGACCAAATCCATCAACCTAACCCGAACTAACCCAAAATTAGTAGGTTCGGTTGAAATTTTCAAGCCATTTAGGATAAATAGCTAACCCACCTAACCCATTTAATTAAATAGGTTGGGCTGGGTAAATGTTGTCAACCCGTTTTCAACCCACCAATCCATTTAACTTTAATATATATTTAATTTAATAATTATTTAAATATAACAATGTATTAATCTAAGTATAATTTTATAAATTACAATGTTTAATTATTATTTATGTTTTAAAAAATGCAATTATAATTCCTATCTTTTTTCTTATGCTGACAACACTCGTCACTTTTCAAAATCATTTCGAAATTACATATATTTAATGTTATTTGACCAATTTTTTGTATTTGTGAATTGAGATTGTGTTTCTATTATACTTTGAAAGTTTATTTAAGTTTTGAACTAATTTAAGTGGTGTAATAGCTAGTTAATTTATTTATTTTTTTATTTTAAATGTGTTAACATAGGTTTAACCTATTTATTTAATAGGTTGGGTTGGAAATTACATAAACGGGTCAACCCGATGACAATTCATTTATTTGAAAGGTTGGGTTGAGTTGGAAATATCTATCCATTTAAATAAAAAAGATTGGATTGAGTTGAAATCTTCACCCCAATTAATAAATAAGTTGAATTCGAACCTAACCCGACCCACTGCCAACTCTAAGATCATCTATTTGAAACACTCACCCCATCAAGGGGGTATTACTGTTGACATCTAGCCCCTACCTTATTCCAATGGATTCCATGGTATATCGTATAATACTTGGTTATGACCAAGACAAGACATGAGGGATATAATCCAATATATCGAACAACCTTTTTAACCAAAGTCGGGAAGGAAAAGGTAGAGTCACTGGGGAGGAAGAATATTAGGAACAAACAATATTAATTTACTTGTTTTGAAGCTTACTTGATGTCCATGAACAATTTGTACAATACTTGTTTTGAAGCTTACTTGATGTCCATGAACAGTTTGTACAATGAGGTGTTCTGAAACATACTTGATGTACTTGAATGGTTAGGGTGAACATTAAGCACTTATAACATTTTTTATTTAGTTTTGTTTTTTAAACTTCAGTTTATATATAAACTAAAATGATTTGACTGTCATCCGATTTTCATTAATGACTTGTTCCATGACATATATAAGACCAAGTAAAAAACAGACTGTTTGATAGTTGTTGAATAAATTATATATACCTTAAGTTTGACCAATTAAAAGACATACTAGAGGACTCAGATCAAGTCAGAGGCTTTTAAATATCATACCAAACATTTTGATTTTGATTGGGTTAGATCCATCCTATTATCAGATCCACTAAAAAAACATAGTATTAAACAGCCGTTAAAACCGATATAATTACGATAAATACAAAGGGAATTGACATTTACAAATACAATCGGGTCAATTTGTACAAAAACTACACGATATATAGAGATCAAACTTATAATTTCCTTTAAAATCAATATGATACGGAACTCAAACAAACAAAATCACAAGTGTCATATTTTGGATAAAATATTAATAAAAATGGTATTTTCAAAAATATATTATGAATGTATGACATCCCTTTAACCCTTATCGATGACAAGTGCTTTCCACTTCCCAACACCACTCACCAACGATGGGGTTCGATTTGTCACCAGAAGCCCTCCTCCACCCACTCCTTTTTACCCACCAACCATTTCCAAATTTTATACTCTCAAAACATATTATTCCAATTAAATATTTACATACAAGATTCAAAAATTACAAAGTAATTGCAAAACACTAACAAAAACCCCATCTAGATTTGCTTTTTTTCAACAAAGAAAAACGGTGCAGCTCTCCTGAGTCCACTCGTAAGTTCAATTTCAATCCATTTCTTTCTTCTTTTGTGTTTCATGTTAATTCTTTGTGGGTTGTATCAAAGATCTGCTTCTTTGATTGAATCTATTTACAAATTTGTTAATGAGATTATAAAAATTGGATCTTTCTTGATTGGGAATTGGATGGATGGATGGGTTTTCTGGTCACATTTCTTTCAAGCTTTTTATCAAACAGTTGAGCTGCAACTTTCTTAGATCAAAATGTGATCTTGAATTCATGAGACTTGGTTTTCTTTACCTATACTGATAACATGTTTCTTTGTTTCGGAAGCATAAACGACAATGAGGGGAGGACTATGGCAACTCGGGCAATCAATCACTCGTCGGCTTGCTCAATCCGACAAAAAGACCATCGCTCGTAGGTGCTACGCTTCAGAGGCCGACCTCAAGAAAACAGTCCTCTACGATTTCCACGTCGCCAATGGCGGAAAGATGGTTCCTTTTGCTGGATGGAGCATGCCGATCCAGTACAAAGATTCAATCATGGAATCGACCCTAAATTGCAGGGAAAACGGTAGTCTTTTTGATGTATCCCATATGTGTGGGTTAAGTCTCAAAGGCAAAGATGCAATCGCGTTTCTTGAAAAGCTCGTGGTTGCTGATGTTGCTGGACTTGCTCCTGGAACTGGATCGCTGACTGTCTTCACAAACGAAAAGGGTGGAGCCATTGATGATTCAGTGATCACGAAAGTGACAGATGATCATATTTACTTGGTTGTTAATGCTGGATGTAGAGATAAGGATTTGGCCCACATTGAAGAACATATGAAGGCTTTTAAAGCCAAAGGTGGGGATGTTGGCTGGCAGATTTATGATGAGAGATCTCTTTTAGCTCTCCAGGTATGATCAAAATCCAAAAATATAATCTTTCTTGATCAAATTGGTAAATCTATTTAACTTATTGTATATAAAATATAACTCAAATTGCTACATTTTTGGGGGTGTTTTCGTTTTTCCATTTTGTTGTTGTGTTGCAGGGTCCTCTCGCAGGTTCTACTCTTCAGTTCTTGACTAAAGAGGACTTGAGCAAAATGTACTTTGGGGAGTTTCGCATAATTGACATCAATGGTTCCAAATGCTTTCTAACTAGAACCGGGTATGCTTTGTAATATTTCTTTATTAAGTGGTTCTTTCTGCATTAAGTCAAAAAGAAACACCCATATATAGCTTATCAGATCAAGTCCAATCCCCGTTAAGTCAATTAAGTAAAACAAGAAAGCGTTTAATGCAAGAAATATCAATGTGCTTTCATCGATTTGTTTATTATATCATCCTACTCTCATTTCTCTCGATTTGTTTATTAAAAAAAACGAAAGTAGAATGATATAGTAATGATTAATACACAAATGAGTTTACAGATACACGGGTGAAGATGGATTTGAAATATCGGTTCCCTCAGAGAACGCGCTCGATCTTGCAAAAGCAATTCTTGAAAAATCGGAAGGAAAAGTACGGTTGACCGGTCTTGGGGCCCGCGATAGTCTTCGCCTTGAAGCGGGGCTTTGCCTTTATGGCAATGACATGGAGCAACACATAACACCCGTGGAAGCCGGGCTCACTTGGGCCATTGGGAAAAGAAGACGGGCCGAAGGTGGGTTTCTTGGTGCTGATGTCATCCTCAAGCAAATTGCAGATGGCCCATCGATTAGGCGGGTTGGGCTTTTTTCTGCGGGCCCACCGGCCCGGAGTCATAGTGAGATTCAGAATGAGAACGGGGAGAGTATCGGTGAGGTGACAAGCGGAGGATTTAGTCCGTGTTTGAAGAAGAATATTGCTATGGGGTATGTCAAGTCGGGGTTGCATAAACCGGGGACTAAAATTAAGATTGCGATCCGAGGGAAGACGTACGAAGGGTCAATTACGAAAATGCCCTTTGTGGCAACGAAATATTACAAGCCGTAGTAATTTTTTTTGTTTGAAAGTGGAAGTGTTTTAATGGCTACTTGGTTTATGTTTAACTTGTTTCTTGTTGTCAATACTTTTCTGGGCATCGAATGGATGACTATTTGTGTATTTTTTTTTTTTTTCCCTTTTGCATTACATTTCCTCAATTTGCCCATTAGACAAGTTTTCTAAGGCTGTTTTACATTATGGAGGGCATTCATGTCTTTTACATATATGAACAACGATGGTGAGTTGGGCTCTATCCCACCTTGTTCTACATTTTTTTCTGGTCCCATTGACATTAGTCTCTATCCCACTTTGTCCCATTGACGTTTTAAGTGTTGAAGACTACAAAAATAGGGATCAAGAGCTATAAATTTGTCCCCAGATTAACCTTATTTGGATCATTATCAATAAAAGTAGGGTTACATGCAAGAAATAGCATTGTAGTTTCTAAGCTTTGTTATAGTAATGTGACTTTTCTGAAGAAGAACCACAATTAGTGGCATGTGTGAATCAGATGACATTGAAGGCAAATAGCATCCCCTCTTTCAAATTTCTAAATTCGGTAAATCATTTAAAAGATATTAACTTGAATCTCTTTAAAGTACAGAAAAAATCTATAATCTTGGAGGTCAAGTTCTCATAAACTAGCCCTCAGTGACATTCAAATGTATGTCCTCTTTCAATTGTATGTTTAGGTTCCATTTTTGATGGGGACCACATGCTTATAAGTCAGAGTAAATTACTAGAATACTCAAGTGATAAAAGACATATTTAGTTCTTATTTTCAAAAATTAACACGATTTGTTTAAAACTTACATGTTTTGTCCCTAACAGATATGAACGATGATATTGCCATTTTTCTATCTTTTTATCATTTATTTTGTATTTTGTATTTATTTGTTATTTATTAATTATTTATTGATTTGTTTATTGTATTAAAAATTATTTATTGCCTTAAAAAAATTGGGCCATAACCCCAAGCACAAAGACATTCATAACCCAGAGGCAAATAATTAACATTTCAATAGTGGTGACATCAAACAAATAATAATGAATATGGATCATAGCATTTTTTCAATAGTTATTTTCCTTTTATCTCATAACCAACCCTTGTATATTTGTAGAAATGTTCAAGAAAAAAAAAAGATGCTGAGCAGGTGTCCACGTGAAGCTTATTGGGGAAGGAAAGGAAAGATACATATGTATGATAAGAACGATGTAGCTTGCGACTTCTTATATCACAAACTTAACATTATTTTGTATTATGACATTATATTTTTGTGTAATGAACTGTTTTTTATTTGTATACATGATATTATTTTATATAATGAAATTATTAAATGTGTTTTAGTTTGAATATTATATATTTTGAAGAATATATATTTTTATAATAATGTAATCTTTGTCGTAAAACGCTTCTCAAAATAAAAATAAAAATTCAAAAATTAGATCAAACAAATGCTTCCCGTCTTTCATTTATGAGTTATGACGACGGGCTTTTAATGGCAAACATTTGTTTGTGATCTATACCCTTTTATTACAGACAATAATGTAGTATGTAATTAAATGTTTCTTTTTTCTAATAATATTATAATCTATTTTTTTGTTACCAAAAAGTAGGATGATATTTAATTTCTCATAGAAAAAATAAGAGTAAAATTATGAGCTACACACAAAACTAACATCCATGATCCTTGCTAACCGCAACTTAAAATTTTGCATTACCATTTGAAGATAAAAAAATAGAATTTATATAAATTACGTTCTAAAACAACATGTGCCACATGCCATGCATTTATTCATAGTGTCTGTGTTCTTCACTGACAATCAAAGACGACTGGATCCTCCCTTAAATTTGAAGCCATTAACACTCGTTTTGAATCTCTCTCTCTCTCTCTCTCTCTCTCTTGTGTTCTTCACTGACGATCAAATATGACTGCCTCCTCCCTCATCCGTCGACGATCGCCTCTCTCTTCCCTTCACCGATCACCTCTACATCTTTCAACTGCCATACTCCTTGATCTCCAGATCTGCGACGTATCGACGAACCAATGGAAAAAACTCCACTAAAGTGTAACACCTCGTTTTCGCATTTCCAGTAGAATTCATTATAAACGGTCTTTTATAAAATTGAAAGTAGAGATAGATTACTTTTTAGCCAAAGTAATCATACACACTTAAGGGCTTGTATGCTGTGTGTACAAGCTTGTATGGCCAACGTACTCCTCAAATTTGCCAACTTTGCTTTTTAGATCTTAATTGGTTAAGACATTAGCCCCAAGACTCATATCTGATCTCCTTCAAGTGGTTTATCACGTAAAGTTGCCAACTTTACGTGCATGAAAGGCTTAATGAGGTCCTAAAGCTCAAAAGAGCTTAATAAATGACTTAATACTTGCATGGAGGTCACAAACACCATACACTTTTTACTTTTAAGATTAAGGAGTCTACTAAACATCCAGATCTACAAGATGGCATCTCAAATGGTCTTAACTCTTCAAGATCAACCAAAAAGGACCAAAACAAGCTTAAGAAGAGATCTAAGCAATAGATAAGCCATATATGAACTTTATATATCCAGAAGCTCCCTAAGATGATGTGGATGTTGTATCTAGAAGCTGAACCACGTCCAAGACTTGCATGACAAGTTCTTCTTGCAAACACACCAAAAATGGCTCCTTTTTATTACTTCAAGCTCAAAATCACCTCTAATGGATATTTAGGGTTTTTAGGGCTGTTTAAAGGTAAGTAGACTAATAAAGGTCAGGGTCCAAAGGCCATAAATAGGTTTAAATAGGGGACAAGTCCGAAGATTACGGTTTTAGACAAAGGCCATGTACGCCCCACGTACATCCTTGTATGCCTCGCGTACGAGGCTCAACTGCCCGATCATGCGCGCCTCAGTACGCTAAGCGTACATACACATACACCCAGTTTACGAGGGGGGTCTTCTTGCCAACTTAATTTTCAAAAAAACTTAAAAAGGGAATTATCAGAATTCGGATGTTACAGTTTGGTAAAAAAAGTTATAATTGTGATTTTTAATATGATTGTGCTTGGCGTTAATAATAATAAAAGAAAAAAACTAGCCCCGTTGATACGATCAATATCATAATTTTACTACTTGTTTATGTAGAGATTAATCAACTAGATATGGCTAAGACGAACACATACCGCCTAAGGAATAATCGGAAATTATTACGAGCTTAATCAATATAGAAAAAAAAAATCTTAATATGAGAAGTCGATAATTACAATAGTTTATAAAAAATTATTTTTATTATACAGAAATTTAATTGAAATGTTATAATATAAATTAGAAAATGTATAAAGTTATCATTAAAAACTGAAATTATATAATTTTAAATATTAATATAATATTAATTATTTAAAAAAAATGAAAACAGTTTTAAAATGTTGATACATTTAGCTTAAAAAGCGTTGGCCCTATATAACCCTTAGACTTTTTTCAATTCACAGTAAATTACAGTTTTATTAATATTTTATTTGACTTTTGATTAGTGGTTTTGACTAAGTTATGAGTGGTTTTAAGTAGGTGTATTTAAAATCCCAAAAAAATAAGTTGTAGATTAATTTAAATACATTAAAATAACACATAATCATAAGTTTTAATCTTTTACATAATCTATATACGTTAAAAAGAAAAAAAAAATATAATAACAAAACAAAATATAGTTTTAGATAAATACAAACATATCAAAAAACGTTATAACATTTACCATATCTTTTTATTTAGAGAAAAATAAATAGATTTCAAGAATATCACCACAATTTATGATGCAAATAGTTATTTTCCATGTGTTTTTATTCGATTTAACTGGTTCAACCGATTTATTTTGACATGTTCAACTGGGTTTTCTTGAAAACCGGCCGGTTCAATCCGGTTCAAAAATCGACATAAAACCGTTGATAGTTGATCCGTTCTCTCCCCCGGTTCCCGATCCAACCGGTTTAACCAATCGGTTTAAACCGGTTTTTAAAACATTGCTTATAGGTTATAGTATAATGTAATGCATGCTACAACTAATTTAATTACAAACTAGCTTATTTTTTTAATTTTCAAGGAGAAATTTCATACTATTTTTTGTGCTTACCATCTTTCTATATATTTTAGATGGTGACAAGTATCATTTAATTTAATTTAAATTTGATTGAGATTTTAAATTTGTATATTTGTTATCATTTTAAATGGATAGGAATAAAATATGAACAAAAGATAGGAAGATATTTAATTTCTTTTTTTTCTATCATTTTTCTAATTAAACACACTTTAATAAAAAAATTAACGTGGAAAATAGGACCCTATACTCTATTTTAATCGGAGATGTTTGACTGGCCAAGTGATTACGCTTGATTTGTACTAGCAATAATACAATTAAAATATTCAAATTAAACAGAAATAAAATGTTATTAAAAAAGATAAAACCATACAAGTGTGTGTTGTAGTTCGCAAATTACTTAATATATATTTACGACTAACGAAAATTAAGTAGGTGATATGAGTATATAATATATATTAGATTGCAAATTACTTATTTAATTACATGGTCATGATATATACATTTTAATATATATAAAATGAATAAATTAATACAGTTAAAATATTCAAATTAAACAGAAGTAAAATGTTATTAAAAAAGATAAAACCATACAAGTGTGTGTTGTAGTTGGCAAATTACTTAATATATATTTACGACCAACGAAAATTAAGTAGGTGATATGAGTATATAATATATATTAGATCGCAAATTACTTATTTAATTACATGGTCATGATATATACATTTTATATATATAAAATGAATAAATTAATCAAGAGATGATATATTCTAAACTTGTATTTTCTGAACTAACAAAATAATTAAGTAATTTAGAAAAGCTTGCTTCCAAACTCTTCAATGTCTTTCCCTTTCTTTGAAGATGAAGCTGCAACATCTCTAAGCTCAGATAAACTTCTTCCAAGCTGAAGTGCCACCTTTATCTCAAACGCTTCACCATTGTCTCTTCTTTCCTCATCTCTTTCCTTCAAGTTCGAATCTATGGATTCCTCCATCATTTTGAAGAACCCTGCATTGCTTCGATACATTTCAAACACCATGCCCACTTGCCCACCATGTTCTACGGTGTTCACAACACTTGCCATTGCACCTCCCATGATTCCGAGCACCACAGCCCAAGAATTATGAGGAGAGGATGCAAGAAAGGTCGAACCAATGGCTCCTAAGCCTGTTAGTAGTGGACCAGCTATGGCTAAAGCTTTGTTGAGTTTCAAGGCCTTATCGCCTAACCTCAAGTAATCATCTTTATCTTTTACTTCCAAAACTTTAATGATCTCTCTCATCTCCTCTTCTAACTCCACACTCCAACCATTTTTATCGTTTTTCCCTTTAGCACAAGACCTCCTCTTTTCTGGCCACCAAACCGCTGGTTCAGTTTTAGCTGGAAACTTTTCAAGCATGGCGCCAAGTAAAGGAAGAGGGTATGCTCTATCTATAGCCAAAACCTTCTTCATCGCTTCATTCACATCACGGAGTTTAGGATTACCTATGGCGATTTTTGTCTGGATTTCGCTTTCAAGTTGCTTCAACAATCTTGCAGCATTTCTTTGTTCTTCAGCTAGTTGGGAAGGTTGGATCTTGTTCATGATAATCAACAACCCTGTTGCAGCTAAATACATGAACGTAGATGAGAGCTTAAGCACTTCTAATGGTGCACCAGGTGTAGTAGTCATGGCAGCAGCAATACCAGCCATGGTTGCCGCCGAAAGAGTAATGGTGTTGATCGAAGTTAACAACAGGCTGTTCCAGTTGTTCCTTTGCTCTCCAATATTCTTATGCATCTCCACCCGATCAGAAACAGCCTCCATTATCAGGTAAAGCTTCTCCATAACTTGAGGATCACCAGAAACATTTCTAGGGCTTGATGTCGGGTTCTTGGATATGATTCTTGAAAATATATCCGTTTCTTCAACCAGACTTATGTTTGATGGGATCTTTGGAGGGCGGATGCTTATATTATTGGTTTTAATCTTTGGAAAATTGATAGCAGCTTTTGTGATATATTTATGGGAAGCCGAAGGGAAGGGAGAAGTAGATGATGCTTTTGAACGCATGAAAGTTGGAGCTTGATTAATGGCTGCCATATATGCTTATTCTTTGATCCTATAAGGTGGTGTATACTGAATTCGAGCACCAAACACAACCAGAAGTATGTTATGACCTCTGCGAGTTGTTGGTTGTTGGAGGTTTTTTATTTGTGGCTTGGGTATGAATTGGTTAGATAGATTCGTGCTTATATATAGGGGGGATATTACATAGGAAATGGTCAAGATATTCAAACTTTGAATGAAGGGTGTGTTGACATCAGGTTATTTGGCTGGACTGTTTCGTAACTTGCCCCATTTTGACTGGACCAAAATTTAAAATTAATTGAAAATTATGTAGAGTTGAGCCAGTTCAGTTGAAAAAACATGCCATAAAGGTATATTTTGAAATCGTAGACTTTAACCGATTTTCAACTTATACCAAGTAGTAATCAATTGCAATGTTTTAAAAACTAACGTGGTTTTCTAGTTGAACCGATATGATGATCGGTTTTTGGTTCAACCGGTTTTTATAATTCTAATTTTTTTTTTCTATCTTTTTACATACATAGACATTCATACATTTAAACATTAAAAATACATATAAATATAAGTCTTAGATCAATCAAAATATATTAAAACCACATAACCTTAAATTTTACATCAATTCACTTACATCAAATAGAAAATAAAGTATAATACGGAAACAAATTATAATTTTAGATGAATACAAATGTATTTAAAAAATCTCTAACATTTATCAAGTGTTTTTATTTAAAGAAATCTAAATAAATATGAAAAAAACAACAAAGTTTATTATGAAAAATGATCTATTTCCATGTGTTTTTACTTAATTTAACGGGTTCAACCGGTTTAATTTAACTTGTTCAACTGATTTTTTTTTTTTTGTAAAAACCGATCAGTTTATTCTGGTTCAAAAATAAACATAAAACCAGTGCTAATTGAACGTTCACTTCTTCAATTTCCAATCCAACTGATTCGACCGACCGATTCAAACCGGTTTTTAAAACACTGGTATTCAGTACTACCCGCGGGGACATAGCCAATATTGAACTAGGATTCCTGCTTTAGTGAGTAACAGATAGGGACTCGAACAATGCGGCGAAGATGCTGCATAGTCAAGATAGGGAATTGAAACGTCCGAAAAATATGATCAAAAAATTTAATTTTTAATTTAATAAAACCAGTATTTCCAGAATATCATCGATACATGCGAAACAAAAATAATGTATCAAACATCATAACAATTAGAGTAAAACACCAAAAGGCAGAACGAGGTGGTGTGTACCAGAATATCATCGATACATGCCAATCAAAAATAATGTATCAAACATCATAACAATCAGAGTAAAACACTAAAAGGCAAAACGAGGTGGTGTGTACTCTACAATCATCCCGAACTCTTTCCTTTGGAACTGGAAGTACTTGAAACATAAATTGAAAACCGTAAGCATGAAGCTTAATGAGTTCCCCAAGATACCACATACCATACATACATATCACATAACGGGCCCCGCCCTAACTAGCATAACAGGCCATGCCCACATTCAATTCATATAAGCATAATAGGTAATAGCATACAAAGTAACCAACAGGCCCCGCCCAGTAAGCATATGAGTACATATACAAGTGTCACACATGCAATGAGTATTCTAACATAACAGATCATAGGTCAGCATTGGTGCCTTCGACTCGCTAAACACAGTGAGGAAACTCACCTCTAAATCTGAGCAATAGTTGAATAGGTCATGGCTTCGAATATCAGCTCTATCCGACACCTAAACAGTAACCAATCCGTAGATACAACTCAAAATACCTCAACACCCCCTCTTAGGTCAAAATTAGTCAAAGACAAAAGTCAAGGTCAAGGTCAACAGTTTGTGTTGTCCCAACACACTCTGTTTCGCCATCATCCAAATAGTCGAGGAAAACCCTAGCCAGTAGCCAACACGCTGTGTTGGCTTGCAAACACGCGATGTTTGCCTGAGTTCCAATAGCTTAACACATTAAGCAACCTTCTTTGACTCCAAGAGCAAAGCTCAGATCTAGACTAAAATGAGATTTAAAAGGGTAAAGTTTCCAACTTTACCCATAGGGACTACCAAAAAAGGGTCTAAAACTCAAACCATAAGACTTAATAATGCAAGGGCTTATTTAATAAGAACTTAATCCTTAAAGCCCGAAGTCCATCATTTCTAGAAGTGATTCTAACACCCAAATCATCTCAAAGGTTGGTGCTTTTTAGACATACATGTCCAATGCATTTATTGAACCTATATAAGGTCAAAATGATTATTTATGATCTAATCTCCATGCATGACTTCAAAACTTGATTATAGTGTAACGACCCAAAAATCAAGGGTAAAAATTTCATTTTTCATTTTAGTCAAACACAAATGCTACTTCATCCAATCATTCAAAAACATTGCTTAATTAAAAGATTTATCAGAGTTACGTCCCAAAATCACATAATGCGGAAAATGTGGGTGTGTGCGCTGCGATCAAGCCAGACCCTTCCTTTCCAAGCTGATGATACCTGAAACTATAAACAAAACTGTAAGCACAAAGCTTAGTGAGTTCCCTAGAGCATACCCCACATAATCTACATAACCATATAATCCGTATCAATCACATAAGGCATATTAATCACATAAGCCATATCAATCACGTGAGCCATATTAATCACATAAGCCATATCAATCACGTGAGCCATATCAATCAAATAAGTCATATTAATCATGTGAGCCATATCAATCACATAAGCCGTACATATAAACATATAAGGATGTCGTGGGCTCCCCCTAGGGCCTTACTCCAGGATACCATGGGCTCCCCACATGATTTTACACCTAAGTGCCATGGGCTCCCCCATGGTCTTCAATAGGAAAGCCATGGGCTCCCCACATGGTCTTACATCAAAGTAGTATGGGCTCCCCTATGGTATTTAATAGGAAAGCCATAGGCTCTCCATATAGTCCAACTTCCAAGTGTCATGGGCTCCCCCATGGTCTTTAATAGGAAATCCATGGGCTCTCCACATTTATTGATATCCAGTTCCATGGGCTTCCCCATGGTCTTTCATACAAGTATACCACATATACAACTAACATACCACATAGCATATAACCAACTAGTATACAACATATCACTACATCAACTAGTGTACCACATATCACAAAATGGGCCGGCGTTGGTGCCTTCAACCCATTGGTATGGTGAGGAGACTCACCTCACACTGCCGAAATCCTGTAGATAAAGCTCTAGCTGCTGGCTGACAGATTCCTGAACTATCAACACTAAAACAACACCCAATTAATAATTGGGTTCCAATACATAACGATAAGTCCATGTTTGGGGTGAAAGACTACTTTACCCTCAACCTAGTTTGGTCCAAACCCAAGGCCCAAACACACACTTTAAAGGCCCAAAAGTCAAACAATAAACCAAATCCCAACATTTGGCCTAAATTCAAAAATGGGCCCAAACCTCTACATGGTCTTATCTTAAGGCCCAATCATTTATTCTATTCAAACATTTGGCATTCCAATGGTCCAACACCTCATAATCATCAAGGCCTAGTTATGGCCCATCTATGGCCGAATTTTCCTAATTGAGCCCAAACTCCTCACATGGGACTTACCTTAAAGCCCATCCAAATATTATAGTCCATATGCTTGTTCTTGGATGGCCCATCAATAGCCCAATCACCAAAGCTCAACAAAAGGCCCAAGCAAAATTTTTCACATAAAATGACGATTAGGGTTAAGTGTTCTTACTTAACCCATTAAAGACTTAATCCATTAAGTCCATCACTCCACTTGACCAAACATACAATGTGGTCCTGCGTAATTCAAAATTCCAAATCCAATGGTCCAAACGTGGGTCCTGACAAATCCAAAACTCACATTCCCAAAATTAGGGTTTTCTAAACCCTAATTAGAGTTTCCCAACCAAATCACAAATCAACTAATCCAATAGTTAAGTTTTTACATTAATTAAAGTCTAACAAGTTGGGTACCACCCACTACCTCCTCGGGTAGTGGTGGTTGGCGGTGGTTCACGGTGACAGCCACTACCTCACGGTGGTGGTAGTCATGATCTTAGGCCAAAAAACACCAAAAGCACTCCAAACATCAATTTAAATGCACATGGAAGCCTACAACCACCAGAGATGGTGGCTAGTAGTGGCGGAACGACGGAAGCAGGTGGTAGTGATGAGTTTCCTTCGATTTCTTGGCCAAGAGAAAACCATACATCATTTAGCTAATGAAATACATTCATATACACATTAAATCACGCACACAACCACCTCCTCATGGTAGTTGTGGCGGCAAGAAAAAGATGATATGGCGGCAGCCACTATGGTTGGCAGCCATGGTGGTTTTTCTCGGGTTTTCTGGCCAAACAAGCACCCAAAACCACTTCACGGTTCTAATTAGCAATCCTTATTTATTCAATGCACAAGACCACAACTCCCAACCACCGACTAGGCGGCTGAGGACGTTAGAACGAGCAGAAACGACAACTATAGAGCTACCAACATCAACAACCGACGTACACGATGTCAATCCACCGAGAAGAGCGAAGGAGAGGAGAGAGAGAGAGAGAGAGAAAGAGAGAGAGAGAGAAAGAGAGAGAGATGGTAGATGACCTTACTCGAGGCTTCCCGGTCGCTCATGACCCTACACAACAATGATTATGGCCCGTTCGTCGGCCTTCGATGGTCGTTTCAGCTGCTCACAGTGCCTCTGATAGCGGTACTATGGTGGTGGTGTCCATCGGCAAGGTGGTAGAGGATGAGGGTGTTCCAAAGATAGTGACGGATGGAAGGTAACACTCTAGGGTTAGGGTTCCTTTTCTTTTTGAGTGAACAAGATGCAAGGAGGGTGACATGATTAATCCCCATCTCTAATGTAAAATTCATGCCATTTGATGCTTCCAGTCCCTCCATCCCGAAAAGCTTTCAATTTAAGTCCCTAATTTACCCTATAGCCCCTTTCTTCCAAGAATCCTTTCAATCTAAGTCTAGATGTTCCAAT